AATCATGATAAGGATGCCTTTAAGCCCAGAATGGCTGACTTCTGAACGTTGCAGAGGCTTTGCAGAACATAAAACAAGTATGTTTGACCAACGTAATATTTGAAGAGCGCATCTGAATTCTATTGGCTTTCTGTCTTGCACTAAGTCAAAAAAAAATTTCTGCCTATTTATGCTTTGGATTTATACTACGGGGACAGGAAGTAGAACAATGTCACTTAAGCCTCACACGTGGAAATCCCCTTATAAGAACAGGAAATGTGCTTATTTTAGTGCCACATGGAAACATGGAAAGCAGTCCATGTTTCTCAAGAATATCACCTTTTGCCTTCTTGGGTGACTTTGGGCCAGTCACTCTCCCTCAGCCCAACTTACCTCACAGGGTTGCTGCTGTGGGGAAAATAGGAGGAGGAAGGAGTATTAGGTATGTTCACTGCCTTGAGTTATTTATAAAAAAAAATAAGAAAGGTGGGATTAAAAAAAATCTAAAAAACATTATCTGTAGAGATGGAAAATACATATGAGTATTATCCATATATCCCTATAACCAAAGTAAGTTCATCCCCATATTGTAGAGGGAGGCTGATCAAATACTGGATTATTTAAGCCTGGGCCACTTAACATAACCTTTCCCTGCATAATATAATTTACACACAGCCACATTTTCTTATATTTAAGTTTTATCTATTTTAGAAGTTATTTCTAAGTAAGCATACTTATGATTTAGAGTTCTTGATTTGAAAGAGGGCAGGAACATCTCACTCTTATCTTTGCAACATCAGTCTGGAGTACATATGTGTTTGTGGGTGCTCGTCCTTCATCCCATTTGCTGGTAGGCAGATCCTCCTCTTTTGTGAGCCCCAGATTCAAATCCTTCCCTTTCTGCAGCTCTCTTTGTCCTTGTTTGCCCTAACAGAGAACAGAGCAGCGTTTTCCTTCTCTCTCCCTGTTTATCCAGCCATTCCTTCCAATGCTCTTTCTTTATAAATATACCTGCACTAAATGAGATTCCGCTCCTGCCCTCTCAATTTCATTCACTGAACTTTTCCAACCAATTTTGTCACCCCCTCTTCTCTTAGGTCACCCCTAATTTTTTATAAGGAAAAAAAAAAGCAGGTCTCACTGTACTTTCTTAAATCTATTCCCTCCAAGTGTTTTTGTTTCGTTCTTTCTTCCTTTTCCTTTTCCTTTTTTTCAGATTTGAAAGCCTGTACCCTGGAAGGGGCCTCCCACTCCCAGCTTTTTGCTGGCAACCTTGCTTTTGCCTGATTGCCACAGATAGAGCTTTGGAGAGAAGAAAGAGAGTTAAAGACAGAAAGAGAAAAAAAGAGAGGGGGCGGTAATTCACCGATGAGATTTCAAAACAGATCACACTAGCCTTTGAAGACCCTCACTTGTGTAACATCAGGACATGAGCATTTTTTTAAAAAAAGTAGCCAACTTTCTGAAGTTTTCCCCCACCCCTCCCTTAAATGGGTTATTTTTGGCACAGAGTAGTTTTTCCTCCTCCTCTGACACTGCGGGTGGGTTTAAAACACTTTCAAAGTGCATGTGTGTGTCTCCTCTGAGGGCAGTGACTGCTGCAGGGTAAGTACTGCACAGGGAAGCTAGGGGGCAGCGTCTGCTTTATGTACTCTTGACCCCCTACCTTTTCTTTGTTTTTCCATATTTCTTCGGCCAGCTTTGGCAGAAAGTTCTAACACGTATAGGTTACTTTCCTGCACATGTCAAACAGAAGTTTTGCTTTAAACTAAATTCAAAAGGGAGAGGGAAGGATTGCCCAAAACCTTAGACTGGGGCTGAGTAGGTCGAGAGAGGAACATTTTCCTGTTTGGCTTGGTAAACTTCACGTAATGGAACTGAGGGAAAGCACGCCTGGGTTCCAGACTTTGCTTTACTCCTTCCTGGCTTTAAAGGCAAAGAATGTGAGATGGTACAAAATGTGAGATGGGGTGCCAGGAATGTGATGTTACCACAGTTGAAGCAGGAAGGAAATCCCAGGAATTCGAGCAAAGGGAGAAAGGAGAGGAGGAAGAGGCTGTCAGTCCCTAGAACCTTGTGGTGTCAGGCATGAAAACTGTCTGGTCTACATGAAATGAGCAGTGCAAAGGGAAAAGCATGCGTGTGGCACAGCAGATTTTAACTGGTGGCTGGAGGGAGTTCTAGATGCAATTGCTATTTGGAAAATCTGTATGAATGAATGGCTACAAGAGTTGAGCTCTTATTTACAAAACCTGGTTTTGTTTTCTCTTTTAAATGGAGAGAGCAAAGTGGCAAGAACCAATGTTTTTATTTAAAAGACAGCTTGTGCTGATTTTTGTGCTAAATTTGTGCTAAATTCAAGCACAAAAACGACTTCTGGGAGAGGGTAGGAGTTTCTTTTATTATTTATAGATCATTGTCCTTTTTCTTTTCACTCCTGTCTTTGGTGGCCCAGATATTCTACTCTGTTATACGCTCTGCTATTTTTCACATCAGTGGTAGCTCTTTTATTCTTATATTGAAATTCCAGCTACAATATCATAAGGTTGGCATTCCTGAGTTTTGCAATTATTTAAGAAGAAACAAAATCTTTAATATGAGGATTCACAAGGTCAACTAATGTATAGAGGAATTGGACATTATCTGCTATAAGGCTGGGGACTAATTTTGAAGAAGAAACAGGCGCATCTATAAATGTACATTTGCAGAAGATCATCTGTCCTTTTACGTACCCAGGGAAAATGTTACTTCTGCTCTGAAAAGAAAGGCAAACAAATGCGATACAGCTAATTCCAATTAGCAGTCCAGAAATTTTAAATCCCCCAAAACACCAGTGTAGAAACTCACAATCCTGGTGTTTGAGGAAGGCTTTGTCATATTACCTGTTCCCAAATCTACAAGAATATCCATAGGTTTGGAGATCTGCATCTGATTTGATTTTTTGGCTAAACGGATTACCTTTTCCCCAATTAGTAGCTGGGGGTGAGGGGGAGATGAAGATAGATAAACAAGCTGACCAAAGGATAAGGACACTTGGATTCTCTCTGAAATTGTCATAATGGTGTGGGTGTGTTAATGAATTGTGTGTGTTACACATTAAAAGGTTTGCTTGAAAGCAGCCTGTGTGTTTCTAGTAGAGTTTGTGTGCACTCCATTCACTCTGCTGCCACCAGATCCAGAGGGCTGTCTAACCCCACCTGACTGATATCCCTAACCCCACAAGACAGTTTTCCTAGGCTACTTTGGCTATTTGGCATCTGTACCAGTCTAGAGGAGATGGAAGTTTTGCCACTCCACCCCATATTTTGGAATGGAACAATCTTGCTGCTCATCTCTAGCAAATGTTTACTATTATCTAATTCTCTTATTACAAAAGATTCTCTGCATATCAGCTGTAAGTCAGAGCACTGGAGATCTCTCCTGGTCCATTTAGGGAATTATTGGCATCCCTTTGGAACCAACTGTAAGGCTTTGATTGAATTTAATGACTCTGAATTGAACTGTTAATTAGATCTCAGCATTACTGACTTGCATAAAATGAATCCTAAAATGCCCTAATTCTAAGCGTATTTTTCTCAGAAAGTACCCTTTGGTCAAAGCTTCAATACTGTGTCAAAATGAGTATATTCAATTGAACTCAATGGGACTTACTTCAGAGTAAACAAGCAGAGGGATCAGGCAGCATGTCCAGAGCATTACTTCGGACTGTCTGAACTGTCGCAGGGTACCCAAAGACAAAGTGCTGAGTGTCAGGATTTTATTGGAAGACCAAGTACCACCAACATGTTTTTTTGCAAGACTTACTTCTCTGCAAATGTATTGAGGACAAGGATCCCCAGCAATTCTTAAGTCCAGATAACTCCAATTCAAAATCTAGAGGCTGAACACATTTACCTGTAAGTTAAAACACCAGGATTGGTCTGAAATCCACATCTATTTGCATGCAGTTTAATCCAGTATATGTGTTTACTGGGAATTAGGTACCTCTGAGTTGAAGGAGACTTGCGCTCATGTAAATGTGCATTAGGCTATAGATAATTATGCAGTGCTGGAGTTGCTGGTATGAGATGGGAAACAGGGCTGCTGCTGGTGAGTTGGGCTGCCTGTCCGTTATTTACTTAAAAATCAGCATATCAAGCCTAACATTAGTCAGGAATAAGTTCCGATTTCACTCAGTGGTGGCCCCCTTAGGCACATTTTCCTGGAAGTAAGCCCTGTTGATCACAGCAGTATTTAGCCCATAAAGCTGAGAGCAGCTTTCCCCAGACAGAAGGCACATTGGCTCCCATCATCCCCAACCAACAGAATCCTTAGTGGGGACAAGCTGTTAAAGAAACTACAAGCAACTTCCAAAGCAGTGGGGAGGAGCCAGAGCTTGGAAGGTGGGAGCCAGGATAGAAGGGGCAGGGAGGGGAAAAAAGCAGGAGGTGGAGTAACAAGACAGAATTTATGAGGCTGGTCAACAGGAGCAGCAGCAGCATCAGTCTTTTTCAAGAAGGTAGGGAGGCTCCTCCGATCCATCCCTCTTCTGGCTACCTCTGTTTCTCTTACTCAGAAATCTAGCTGGACTCCCAGTTGCACATCTCCTAGAAGAACTGGGGATACCCCCAGCACAGAACCGCCACATCGTCCGCACTAACCTGCCTTTGACCTCAGGAGCGCAGCTCTTTGGAGAAGAGGAGGAAGACTCGCACCTGAGCGACCGAAAAACAGACAGAAAGAAAGAGAGCGCGAGAGAAAGCGCGAGAGATCGGGGAGGGACCGAACAAAGAGGCTTTGAGGATGATCTAACGATGCCGCGGGCGGCCACTTGTCCTCACGGATCCTTCTGGGAAGGGCGTTGCTGGCCGAAATGATGCTCCAAATCTTTCCTCGGCGCTCCAAGCAGAGAGACCAGAGGCAAAGCGCAACCTAAGCCTAGGAACGGTCCGGAGCAAAGAAACCCTCACGTGAAGGGGATCAAGCCGGGATCGGAAAGGGCCTAAGCGGGAGAGCGCCGTGAGAAAGCTGCGCGTCGGAGGATGGCTGGTCCACCCGTCTCGTCGCTCCTGGTGGCGGTCGTGTGCCTGCTGGGCGTGGAAGGCTCGCACCCCTCCTGGGGAAGGCAGAGCGAAAGCCGGTCTGCGGCATCCCTGGACGGGGAGCCCTGTTGGGTTAGCAAAGCCACAGCCGCGGCTCTCCCTCGGCACCCTTATGCGAGCTACCCGCGTCCAACAGTGGGAGCAGCAGCGCCGGCGGGGCGCAGAACGGCGCCCTCGAGGCTCCGCCGCGCTGCTAGTTCCGACGGGAGCAGCGTGGAAGACACGTGGGAAGAGAGCAACGTCTTCCCGCTACGCCCGCGCGCAAAAGCCGGGCCTTCTGCCGCAGCCGCGGGTTGGGCGCCGGATTCCGTCGCTGCGCTTTACTTCTCCGGCAGAGCCGAGCAACTGATGTTGCGGCCGGGAGCCCTCGCCGAGTTGCCCCGCGGCGAATTCACCATCGAAGCTTGGGTGAAGCCCGAGGGCGGGCAGAGCAATCCGGCGATCATCGCAGGTAAAGTTGTGGAAGTGGGGTAGGCTAGGCCCAAGGGGAGAACGGGGGCGCCTTGGCGTCCGTTCATAATTTATACGGGCTGATAGCGAACGTAGGTTCGTAAGAGGCTTAAGGGCAGAACTAGGCACAAACGACGGGCACGTGACCAGTGACGCGTGGTCGAATCTCCTGTCCTGTCAAAATAGCCGCGGAGAGTTTCAGTCGGGTCGGTGTCTTCGGACGTTGCATTACTTGAAGTTTCAGAGACTGTATCAGTCAGAGGGGAGAAGGGACGTCTGCAAGCAGCACAGAGCTAGAGTAGTTCATGTCAAGCCTAGAATCCTGCGTGCTCGCAGTTGGCTTGTCAGTGTACAGCACCATATATTGGTCAAAAGCATGATGAAAAGAAAGAAAGAAGGAAAGAAGGAAGGAAGGAAGGAAGGAAAACTGGCTAAGAGCTGTAATACCCAATAGACGTTTGGACTGGCTTTGATCTGTAGTTATCTTTTGCTTCCCCATTTCTTGATTTGCACTACTGATATAATGAATGCTGGTGTGCTCAACAGTTATATTCTGCATTCTATAGTTGTATAGTATGCATTCTCTATTTAGTGTTATATTAAACATGTTTAACTTCTTAGAGACACAAACCTGGCAGTTCAGGAATCCTCTTGTTCCTGTGTCAGAATGTAGTATTGAATGTACATTTCCCCCTCTTCTGTATTTTATTCTGCAGCAGACTGTCATGTGCAGTCTGTATGCAACAGCAACTTTTGCTATTTAAAGCTACCTTGCATGCATTATTCAGAAGGAAACTCAGTGAATTCAGAGAGGGAGACTGCTAGATTATTAGTGCCCTGCCTTGCTGGTTAGTCCAGCAAAAGCTGGTTCTCTAAAAAAAAATGGCTCTATCCAATCTGTGGTTTTGTTCTGGAAATATGAAAGCAGTTTAGGATGGGAAACACCTGGGAGATCTTGGTTGGACCTGGTTAATACTTGGTTGCCCATCCAAGGCTTTAGGCTAGACTGGAAGCTGAAAGACATCAGTGACAAACCACTTCCTACTGTTGCCAAGAACGTTACAGGATTTCAGCTCAACTCAGATCACACTTTACAGAATTTAAGCATGCTGTATTCCATAAGCAAGCAGCTTTGGGATCCTGTAGAGTTCTTGAAAGCCTGGTTTGTGATCCACCACTTGTGTTCATGGATCTCTTCCTACCACTTCCATTACAGTGCTGCTTGCTGTCTTTTACCCTGCCAGAATTTCCATTGGGATCACACTTCTGCTAGCAGGCAGTGACAGTTCTGAAAGAACACTCTGTGGTTGATTATGGGGTCCTTGCAGAGTGACAAAGATTGACTGGGGCTGTGAGTGGTCATAGAGTTTCAATTCCTGAAAGGTCCTATTCGTAGCTGCATTTCAACCATGTCAGTGGCTTGATGGAGCAGGTGAGGTGTTGGGGGAGCAGGAATGTGTGAAGAGTCAGTGGGGTATATGTTCACATGCATATGAAGTCTCCCAAGTCATTAGCCTTGTGGGCTAAAAAGGATTCTGGGCTCCTTTTGTATTGGAATATATTAAAATGCTAGAAAACAATGGGGTAGGTTCTAGGTCTACAGTAGAGGGAAAATATAATTGCCTAGGAACGTGACAGGAAGCCTCTTCCAGGGTATTCCTGTTAAAACTGCTGGCTTTAACACCCGTGCTAATGTGTGATGAGCGATTACATCCAAGTGGGTTTTGTCAGTGGTAGTTTCCCTGGCCCTTTGGATTGGCTTCCCCAGTGAGGCATACCTGGGTCTGATTTTATCATCTTTCTGGCACCAGGCAAGCTATTTTTATCCTCCTGAACCTTTTAATATATTGCTATGTCATTTTAAATAATTGGGATAAAGTTTTAAACGAATCTCTCCCCTTTTTATGCTTGCATTTTTTAATATATTGTAAATAATTGTTTTAATTTAAAAAGTGACATTGCAATTTCAGTATGTTGTAAGCCACTCTGGAAGAATTCTGTTTTGAAGGGTGCCATGTAATGTTTTTAAATAAGTAAATTGCAGTATCTCAGGGGTTTTCATCAAGCTGGATGATCCAAACAGCTAGAGGTGGGAGGGAGGGAATGATGAAAAAAATCCTGCAGTCCACCAAATATTGTAGCAGGGATGTCTGTATTTAGACCCTGTTGCAAGGTGGAAGTCATAGATTAAATGAATCAAACTGGTAAACTGCTGTAGATACCAGATTCTGGGATAAAGCAGCAGTGGCTTGTCTCACTGTTACTTAGTTCTGCCTCTAGCTTAAGAGAATTGCTTCCTGATAAGTCAGAAAGCAAATGTAAAAGTAAAAGAAAGTAGAAGCAAAAGTAAAGAGAAATATAACAATTTTTATTGTGAGATTACATTAGGTAATAAAGTAGTTAGTCAGTTGAAGCAAAATGCAGGACTGTCCAGCAAGATGAATTGGGTTGCAAAGTGTTTGTTTTCTATTATTATAAATCGTCAGTGTTACAGTTTTTCTTAAAACCATTGACCAACAGGGCTGCTTTGGATGCATCTGTTAAAAAAGGCGTAGGGAAAGGCTCCCCAGGTGGGGGCTGATACAGTATGCACGTGTCTTTTTCTCTTTTGGTGTCTTCGAGTCAGTTTTTGACTCCTTGCGACTGCCTGGACAAGTCGCTGCAGTTTTCTTGGCAAGGTTTTTCAGAAGTGGTTTGCCATGGCCTCCTTCCTCAGGCTGAGAGAGAATGATTGGCACAAGCTGTCATTCACCCAGCTGGCTTCGTGCCTAAGGCAGGACGAGAACTCTAGCCTTAATCACCACACCAAACTGGCTCTCTATAAGTCATGTAGATTGTACTATTTGATGCTACAAAGTATGTGTGTGTGTGTGTATAAATATATATATATATATATATATATATATATATATGTATGTATGTATGTATGTATGTATGTATGTATGGTTAGCTTGCTATCTATTCAAGAACAAATGTTCTCTAGAGAGATTACAGTAACTTTGTAGCATCAAATAGTACAATCTACATGACTTATAGAGAGCCAGTTTGGTGTGGTGATTAAGGCTAGAGTTCTCGTCCTGCCTTAGGCACGAAGTACTGTAATCTCTCTAGAGAACATTTGTTCTTGAATAGATAGCAAGCTAACCATACATACATACATACATACATATATATATATATATATATATGTATGTATGTATGTATGTATGTATGGTTAGCTTGCTATCTATTCAAGAACAAATGTTCTCTAGAGAGATTACAGTAAAGCCAGGATGTTAAAATAATTGGTGCATTCTGTTCATTTACGTAGGTTTGCCATGTGGTGGTTAACTGTTAAGTATTTCTGATTTTAATTGTGAGCTGCCCAGAATCACCCGTTGGGGGGAGATGGGCGGCATACTCATTTAATAATGAATAATAAATAAATAAATAAAATTCATCAGTAACGTTAAAGACAAATAAGTAAAAAACAATGGAGATGGAGCCCAAGCATTTGCAGATAAATGTAGCAATGAAATCAGGAAAGTGCCTCTTCCACAGCCTTTGAAGTTTATTGTATAGAATACAGGAGACAAATAATACAAGCCTGAAATCCTAGCATAGTGAGAATAAAGATATTTGACCTTTAGTGTGATGAGGCTCATAATTTCATTTATTTATTTATTTATTTAAATTTATTGGCCACCCAACTCCAGTGGACTCTGGGTGGCGCATAAAACTAAAAAAGACATAAAAACAGTTAAAGATATTAAATCAACAGGCAGCCTGGACTAAAATGCTCTAATAATAAAATCCACAAAACAAAAGAGGGGCTATTAAACAAATTACAAACGTCAGTCCTGACTACTATTATTATAAAAGAAATGTGTTGTTTTTTCAGACTTAGGGCTACAGCAAGCCTTTGGGTCACAGACTTATAGGGGCATATTCCAAAACAGTAGTATGCAGAACCTGGACAAAAGCTAAATTTAATAATATTTAAGTATCTTTAAATCATATTAAATTACATGAAATTAATTACATTCAGATAATGCAATTACTTAGCAGCTTTTGAAAGGGTTAAGAGGGCCACCCACAGAAGGTCACATAGGTTCCTGGATTAAAGCAATTGCTACACATAACATGGATGCAAATATGTTATTATGTATGGAAAATCATGAAACTGCAAATTGAAGTCCTGTTGAAGATTGGGAATGTGAAACCAACATTGTATTTCTAGAAGATCCGATAAAGATTTTTGAAACAAGTGATAAAACTTTAATAGAAGCAAGTCTTGCTAGCAATGAAGGATTTCAGCAATTCTGACATCTGCTGCAACTTTCATTATTATTTTTCTTCATTTTGCTTTGTTGACCAGTTCAACTTTCTGAAGCTGGAAGAAGGTGAATTTTGATTAAAAGGTGAATACATTGATGAAGTGGAAGTACAAAGAATTTTGAGAAACAGAGACTGCATCATCTTGGTATTTATAATGGCAAGGATCATGAAAATTGAGTCTATTTAGTTGTGTACCTTGGGTTTCAGAAAACTTATTAAAAAGTTGGGTGAGATTCCATGCTAGAAATTACGAAGAAGAGAAGAGTTCAAAAACAATTCCCATGAGAATGGAAAATAGGAGATGCACATGAGCTCTCTGATGATATTTTAAAATGACATGATCAGGAATATCATATAACTCAAGAGAATAGATTTGCTGGAACTCTAACCCCAAAATAAAGCTCTTGAGCGGTACTGAAAGAAGTAAAATAACTTATATTTGAGTATGCTGAGAACAAGAAGCTTAAGAAACTACATTAGAGTTGAAGTGAAAGTTGAGTTACTCAATATCTAGGTTGTCTCATCTTCACTCCAAGAAAAGTTACGTTCATCTGGGACAAGTATAACAAATGATATAAGGAGGCACTTTTTGCCATGGTAGATAAGGAGATTATTTAGAGAACTTAATTATTATATCAAAGATTTAACATTAATTATTATATCAAAAATATATTAGTCCAGTGG